TATAGCTTAGTTGGTTGAGCTCTTCCACCTCTACTCATGTGGGCAAAGGTTTAAAACCCCAATGCCCTCAATGAATATTTGTGCAAATCCCCCCTCCCCAAATCGCTTCTTGTACTAAAAAAATTCATCATTTTACATCTACTTTATGCATTATGAAATTAATTGAAACTTTTATATAACTGAAGCTTTTCTGATTATGCTAGACGTTGTACAACTTTGGGGCAAGAAAGATAGCTCTCTTCGGGCTAGGTCCTTTAGGCTCCATACCTTATGAAGTGGCTGCGTGTGGCACGAAAGGCTCTTCTTGCGTTTCTTATATCAACAATGCAGTTCAAATTTTCAACTGGAGGCTTAAATCACTTGTCCAAGAACTCAACAGCAATCTAAGAAATGCCAAGTTTATTTACATAGACTATTATGGGATTGGATCATCATATGCTTTATCTCAGGGTAATTTTTAATATCTCTAAATTTTACTTTTTATTTCTTTTTTATACAAATGGTAGTGGGGAAGTGGAATCGAAATCTAGGTACACAGTAAATATGTTGAAGAATATAAGTCCCACGTTAAAAACTTGATTAAATAAAATACAATATATAATTAATGATTTCACTATTAATATCGCCGAGACCTTTTGTGATTAAATAACATTCTTGATAATATATTTCGGCCAAAAAACAGATAAAAGTTCAAATTTTGGCACAAACATGTTAATTGACTAATATTGGCTCTTCTATATTTCAGGTTCTCTGATTTCTAACGTCTCATGTTGTGAAGTGATAGAGGGCGCATGCATTCCTTTTCAAATCCCATGCAGGAACAGAACCCAGTACATCTTTTGGGATGGTGTACATCCTACAGAGGCAACAAATGTTGTTATAGCAGCAAGAGCATACAAAGCTAAGTTTCTGACTGATGCTTTTCCCTACGATATCAACCGCTTAGCTCAACCATCCTAATTGTGCGTTCCATATTCATATCAACCACTTATATGGTTCAAGTGATTATGAAGGAAATAAAGTTATCAGCTGCGTTTGGGAATTATATATGTACGGAGATTTATGAGTTTATGAAGATTTATGAGTTTATGAAGGTTTATACATGACCTTGACATAATCTTCATTACACATGTCATAATCGTAATCGTTCATTTCCTAAAACTCAATTAAATTGGATATCATTTAGTAATCTATATGCATTATGTATCAAACAAATCGAACTAATATTCTTGTAAAGAATAGATCATGTTGAAATAAAAAAATTCATACCTATCAGATTAATTTGGATAGGCATTTGGGCTGTAACAAATCAATTCTAAATCAAGTGAGGCCCAAATGAAGAACTCAACAACAAAATGACGTGCCCAGAGATAAAATCCCATATATTTATCTCTAAGAAAAAGTCCCATTACAGCCCCACTCTCAAAAGAAATTAAAAGAAACAAAGAAGAATGTCAAGGTGAGATCGTGCATGGAGCAGGCCACTTATCAAAACGATGGCACAATCTGGGAAGAAACAGTCTCCTTCAACTGCCACTCACCTGTTTGCCTATAAAAAGGCATGAACCAAAGGAAAAAAGGAAGGGCAGAAAAAAAAGAGAGGAGGTGCTGCAGGAGAGAAAACGCAGAGAGGAACCAAGGGCTGCAAAGAAGGGAGGAGCCGAGAAGCAAGAAAGTGCTTCAGAAATGAATACTGAAGCGTGAAGAAACGATACCCAAGGTCCTGCAGAAAGTTTCAAATAACAGAAAATCAAGGAAGAAACAAAAGGGCAGGAGCAATCAGAGAAGAAAGGCAAGGTATAAAGTTCATTCTTTGCTGTAAAACTTCAGGGTGTCTCTCAGCACAGGTTATTCCTTTGCGGTTCAAAAACATCCGATGCAAAGTTCAATCCAACAAGCCTCTGCAAATGGTAGATCATGAGTTCTACGTGGATGCCGACATCTTGAAAACACATTTCTCTATGAAAGCAACAAATAGCTCTCATATCAAGTTCTCTGGAATTGAATCAGCAAAGTCCCCTTCCATTGTTGTCTGCCATAATGGCTTTGAGAATGTGCTGCGAAATTGATAAGTGTATTATTTCCTATATTTTTACACCTTTTATATGTAGGTTTTGTGGGGAAAGTTAATTAAAAAGAGTATTATTACTTTACTTTCCTTATTTTCAGCTATTCTGCGCTCTTGGAAGGATTTCAACTGAAAATCAACTTTTCGAATGCATTTTAGTGCAAGACCAATTGTAGAAGAAAGCTAAGACATTGAAGATCATTGTATCAAAGTTTCATAATTTTCTACCAAGCCAAATGCTCCAGACCTGCAAGTCAAGACAGCCTAAGTTGAAATCCCGTCAGAACTGCACTGCTGTGGAAGAGTGAAGATTTGAATATCTTTCCGATTTTTCCTAGTGGTGTGTAATATATGCTTGGAAAGCTTAGAGATAAAGCTACGTTTCTCATATTTTTCCAGAATTTTCTAGGAAGTGGAACAACCCCAAAACGTGCGTGCAAGTTGGCTGACGTGTTTCCAAGTCAAATAAGGATTCTTTCCTAGTTTGTTTCCTTAATTGTTTGAGATTTTGTTTTGCTTTAGGAGAGTTTTTCTAGACCTTTTTGAAGTAGGGTTTAGTTGTTTTATACTATATAAGGTCACCCTAGGATCTCTTCATGGGATCATCTTTTTCCACCATCGTTTTCTCTATCATCTTTTTCCACCATCGTTTTCTCTATCATCTTTTTCCACCAACTTTCATACAACCAGAGAAATATTAGAGGAAGCCAAGAATTTGCTGCTGTATTATTTGAGGAGCTTTTGAAGGTGTTCCTGTGAAGATTCTGAAGATCAAGTCCATCGGCCAAATTGGTTTTATGACAATAATTCTCTTGTTTATATTTTCTTCTGTCATGAACTAATTTCCCTTGCTAGGGCTACGATGTAGCCTAACCATGAATACTCAATTTTTATAGTTATATTAATTCCTTATTATTATCCCATGTTGAGTATTTGTTACTGTTCTTAATGATTTAAATATCTAGCTAATATTTAATTGATGATCCAAGCGGAGACCGAGAGGAGATGTTTGGTGTTTGCTTCTTGTAACAAATACCATGACTTGAATGAGTGCCCGAGAGGGACTAACATGACTCATGCAGTTTTCTTGTAGGTTCTCATAGAACTTAATGGGTTCTTAGTTTTCTAAATCCGTTGCTCGAGAGAGAATGGGTTGTTAATTGAGAATACTTTTGGTTGAGCCCGAGAGGGGATATCGAATGAATTAGGAGAAACCAACTGTCAACAGGGATAGTAATTAGGGTTAATTGGCTATAAGAATTAAGTAGAATTGGTTATGGTGAAATCGGATGCTCTAGTGTCTCATCATCTTAATTTTCTATCGTTAATTAAATTGTTATTTTTCATAATTATTTTAGTTTTCTTGAATCAATCAATCTTCTTAATTAACTGTTCAAATAAACTTCTAAATTAATCATAATTGGTAGTTAATAGGAAATTACAGTCTTCGTGGGAACGACACTCTACTTATTTCTATATTACTTGTACGAATTGTGCGCTTGCAATAATTTCACAACAAGTTTTTGGCGCCGCTGCCGGGGACTGTTTTATTTTCTATTAATATCAATATATTTTAATTCTGAGTTTAATTTGAATTTCTTCTTTTTGTTTCAGGTACTTTGATCCGTGTATGCACCGTTCTCGTACCCTAGAACTCATACCACTTGACCCAGAAATCGAACGTACGTTTCATAAGCGGAACAAAGGAAACAAAAAGCACACTTTGGTGGAACCACCATCCACACCTATGGCGGAGGAAGCAGAAAGAGCCGTGGGGGAATTTGGCCCCCCAGTGGCAACTCCCTCAGCGATCCGACGTCCTGCTATTGCAGCCAACAATTTTGAGATCAAACCAGCCATGATCACCATGCTGCAGAATTCATCTGTATTTTGTGGTCTACCGAATGAAGATCCCAACATCCATCTTGCGATATTTTTGGAGATTTGTGATACGTCCAAGTTCAATGGAGTAACTGACGATGCGATTCGTTTAAGGCTTTTCCCCTTCTCCTTGAAAGATAAAGCCAAGCTTTGGTTACTGTCACAGCCATAAGACTCCATCCGTACTTGGGATGATTTATCTAAGAAATTCCTTGCTAAATTTTTCCCACCAGCCAAAACTGCAAAATTCCGACAAGATATCATGTCATTCGCTCAATATGATAAGGAACCTCTATATGAAGCCTGGGAACGATTCAAAGACTTATTGCGCAAGTGTCCTCACCATGAGCTACCAACCTGGATTCAAGTTCAGACCTTCTACAATGGGTTGAGTCAAACAAGCAGGACACTAGTTGATGCAGCTGCTGGAGGGGCTTTAATGGCAAAAACGGCTACCGAAGCATTTGAATTATTGGAGACCATGGCATCCAACAACTACCAATGGCCAAGTGAGAGAATGAATCTGAAGCCAGCTGGGGTCTTGGAAGTCGATGCTATGGCTTTGCTAACAGCACAAATTTCTAACCTTACTAAAAAAGTTGATTCTTTAAGTGTTAATTCTATAAACACTAGTACTAATTTTGGTTGTGAACTTTGTGCAGGCCCTCATCCAAGTTCAGAGTGTACCACAGGGAACCCATTTGCGTCTGCTGAGCAAGTCAATCAGGTTGGAGAATTGAATCGACAAAGGAATAATCCTTATTCCAATACATACAACCCCGGTTGGCGAAACCATCCAAATTTTTCATGGAGCAATACTCAGAATGTGCAAAGACCACCACCTGGCTTTCCGGCTCAAGAGAAGAAAATAAATTTGGAAGATGCTCTTACTCAGTTGACTATGTCTACCACCCAATTCATGACTGAAACAAAAACTCAATCACGCAAGTGAAGCTCGTCCAAGCGCACAAATTTTCTAATGCATTCCGGAAGCGTGACAAAATTGCTTCCAGATAGATCAAGATAATGTAATGTGGACCAGCAAGAAAACAGCCGTAATTCAAGCCCAATAAGATTGAAGCATCCATGAAGATTCAAAGATTCAAGTCCAGTAAGATATGCAATTGATAGAGGCAATTCTCTTACGCCACTTTTTGATATGTCCAAACTTCGTAGTGATTCCATCTGGACTTCTATTTCTGGGAAACTCTCAAGACTTTTGCAACCATGAAGGGAAAGGTTTTCCAGGGAGTTCAATCTAAGTGTTGTTGCAAACCTTGTAAGATTGAAGCATCCACCAAGATCCAATTCAACAAGTTTATCAAGGAATCCAACAGAACCGTCGACCTCAACCAAACGTGTACAGTAATTTAGATTCAAGTACTTTATGTTTAGGATTCCGGATAAGTCTGGGATTTTTTCTAAGAATTGACAACCACTCAAATTCATATATGTCAGGTTTGGCAACTGCTGTGAGACAAGAACACAAAAACAGGAAATAATTAATCACACGCTTCAAAAGACAAAAACTTAGAAAACAATTTTTCGTTTTTTCCTTCTGAAATTAACAACTGTATTTGAAATTATATATAATGGATGAAAATAATTTCAAATAATACATACCTTAAAGTTAAATCCATCCAATTGTCTGATATGACTGCGAGGCATATTGAACTTAACAAGATTATTTCCTTGAAAATTGAGTGGCAAAGATTGTAACTGATATCCATCCCAATCAATCCATCTTAACGTGTTGGGCAGATAGTTAATGTGCCCACATAGAGATGCATTACGGTTTATGAAAATTTGAAGATTTACCATATTACGGAAGCATTCTGGATTCAAGGTTATCTTAGCTGGTTTTGGAAGCTTCACCATGATGCCTTTAATATTTCTTGTTCCCTAAGATGGAAAAGCATTAATTAGGAAACGAAGTCATTGTGCATACCAATATGCAAGCACATTTTGTTAAGAAAATTAAGGTAACATATGGTATTCTTTCTTGTCAAATTGAATAATAACATATGTGATACTTACTGTACTTTCCATTAGAACTTGTTTGACATCCTCATAAAACCACAATCTACTACGTTGGCCAGGATCATTGGGGGATTCTTTGTGAACTATATCCTTGCCCAGGTTTGCTAGCAAGTCGTGCATTAAAATCCTACTCCCTTCAATAGTTATCATTGCCTTCTCAACGAATTCTTCAATGAATTTTTTGGGTACTATTTCTGGCACATAGTTCTCATATCCACCCTTTTCTGGCACGTAGTTCTCATATCCACCATTGAAGAAACATGCAATGTCGAGAAAATATTCTTTTGCGCGATGATCCAAGGCATCATAACTTTTTTGAAGTATTCTTTCAATATGTGTATAAGGTTCTCCTTTGTAATCATCTAATATAACTTGCCAACGTGGTATATCTATACCACGAAGATGAGAACCTAAAATTGTTAGAGCTAGTGGAAGGCCATCAGCAAAAGCTATTGCACGTTGTGCGAGTTCCAAATAATCTTTTGGAGGTTCACTTCTTCGGAATGCATGCCAACTGAAAAGCTCAAGAGCTTGGTTGTAATCTAACTTCTTCACCTTGTATATCAACTCAACTTCACGATTGTCTAGCAATCTCCTATTTTTTGTAATAATGATTACTCTACTACCCTCACCAAACCAATCATCTCTGGCTAAGTTGTCTAACTGCTCCAATTCATCCACATCGTCAAGAATTAATAGAATTTTTTTATGCCTCAACCGTTAACTCATGGGCAATTGCATTCCATATAGCTTTTGCAATTGTTGTCTTGCCTATTCCAGATGTCCCCCATATCCCAACTATGCAACGACCATTCCCACCAACATCTAAAAGTTTTTTCACATCTAGTACATGAGATTGAATTCCAACTGGGTGCTCGGCCACATTCCAATATGTGCGTCTCAGTACTTGGCGTAAGATTCCATCAACAACGTCGTTGATAAATGTAGCTTCAGACCTGCCAGTTTAACCAAATTAGACACATTTAATGAATTAGATTTAAACATCCTGAAGTACGTAATAGTTCTTCAGCTATCGAAAAAGAAAAAAAATGTATACTTGTTTAACCACAAACCTAATGTTATGTATCATTTATACTTGTATGCCTTTTGAAGAGATTAATATAAAAGTACCCAAGAAAATAAATCTTCTCCCTACAAAAGAATACTTTTGTTTAATGAGTAACAATTAAATGTAACCAATGTAAAAAAGAAAAAGAAATTAAGTTAACTTGAAAAAGATAGATAACCGTGAACTATAGAATCAAGACACTAAATTAAACATAATGCACTACAGCTATCGAAAATATAAAAAAACAAAAAACAAAAACCAAAAAAGGGATACTTTTCTTTAATAATGTGTAACCAGAGAACGAAGAGAGAAAAAAAAATTAAACTTGAAAAAGATAAAGATAGAAATATACTCTCCATCCTTGAAAGTATGTCCGGACAAATTTGCTGCTTTTCTAAGAGCTTTCCTCCATATGACCACCTTCTCCTCGTTATCTTTGAATTTGCTTTGAATAAGGCCTTTAAATGCATCTCCAAAACTATTTGTTTGCTTTCGTACATCTGACGGATCCACCTTGTAAAAAATGGGCCAAACTATTTGTTTCTTAGAGTTTTTGCATCGAAGGATCTCAACAAGTTCGTCCAAGCACCAGCTTGAGGATGCATAGTTTTCAGAGAATACAATGAGAGAAATTCTTGATTCTTCAATTGCTCTGACAAGGGCTGGCGATATTTCCTCTCCTCTTGTAAGCTCTCGATCAATGAAGGTGTAGATGCCCTTATCAGACAAGGCCTTGTACAAATGATCAGTAAAATTGGTGCGTGTATCCTCACCTCTAAAACTCAAAAACACATCATATGGAGAAGAAGAAGAAGAAGAAGAAGAGACTGGTTGAGTGGTCATAGATAGGAGGCAGATAATTAAAAGATTTGAATATGACAGTGGCGCTCTGGTTAGATTTATGAGGGCTTGACGAAGCAGTTTCCTACCACCTTCCACGCGGACGTGATTAAGTTAAAGGTGTGAGAGGAACTTTCGTTTCAACTTCAAGTCATCAAACGCTGAATTTTTTTTTTCATACTGAGGCACTACCTTTACCTTGTCTTTGCTGAATAAATTGCTTTAAGATAGTGCACATCACATGGCCAGTATTGCTATATAGCAGAAATGGGCTATATATCATTCTTTGATTTTTCAGATGAAGGAAACGCAGATTATGCATAGTTTTGGAATATTTCTTTTGTATTTTAGTTTTTATAAGTAGTGAAGAATGATTACGTTACATACAAGGAGATCATACCAAAGCTAAGAAGGCAATTGTCACTATTTTTTTTATTTGGCCGACTTTGTTAAAAAAAGGAAGTAATTCCTTCGAAAATTAAAAGTAATTATTCTGGACAAAGTCTAACGATTTCGAACTATTTTTATGAACTATTATCAACGACTCACAGTCGTTCGCTGTAATATTCCCCAATGATTAGGCTTGGACTTCTCCAAGATTTTCACCTGAGGCAACATAAATTTGAAAGACTACTTGTCCGAGACTTTATATTTGAGGCTCTAAATTTTTTATGTTGTAATTTAGTTTACATGCTAATGTTCTTTTTTTATTTTTTTATTGAGTTATTTACACTAACACCCATTGAGTTTTTTGGTCCTTTCACAAAACTCCCTGGAGTTTCATAAATTATACAAACACACCTCAAGATTTTAAATTGTTTTCACAAAACTATTTTTTATTAATTTTTGGGTTAATTTCAATTTAGTATCTTGAACTCTCAACCTTAAAGTATATTTGTCCTTGCACTCTCAATTTTAATAATAATGTACCCTAATCTTTTTAATTTTTTGCTATATGGTTTCGACCATCAAAATTTCCCTTAATTGTCTACCTGGCCGGCATGGGTCCCACATTTTCGCTACTTTCAATGTCAATTGAAGGATATTTTCGATCAATTGGTGTCTTCCACAAGTACTTTTGTTAAAAAAAACTATGACACATTTTTTTGCAAGTTTGAGCAGGAAGGCACCAATTGTCCAAAAATACCCATTAATTGTCCATCTTTTACAAGTTTGAGCCGGAAGGCAACAATTCCGCAAGTACTTTTGTCAAAATTAACCCTTAATCTGCATACTAAAATTGAGCCATTGTGGTTTTGTAAGTGGCACAAAAATTCAAAGAAGACCCCTAGGCAAACAAGTCTCTTCCAGTGCATGTCCTAGGGTGGGCTGTGTTGGTTTGGTATGTTTCAATTTTATTTTATTTTATTTTCCGGATTTTTAGTCCCACCTTTTACTATTATTTGCAATTGATATAAATTGCTATATAAAAAATAATAATTACAGAGTTGCTTTCATGTCATGTGAGTTATGATCCATGAGAGGGTGCATGTGCTACATTTGGATTTTCATGTGTTTTCTGAGTTGTTTATCTCAACAACAGAAGTAACCATATTATCTCAGCAACATTAACAAGGTCTTTTTCATCTTCATTTTCAAACCCCAAGTGGGAACTCACTTTTCCTAGCCCGCTTCCACTTTCAAGGGTACGAACCTTCAATGTAACTTCTTATCTTTAACAATGACTCACTTTCTTTCACTACATGATAAATAGGTATTTTGTTCAAGATTTTGAATGCATTTACCTGCATTTTGTTACATTTAAATCGTTATAATAATACAAAGACCTATAATATGACACGTCAAACTACAAATAAATATTATTCTCTCTAAACACTGTTGAGTCCAAATAATATTTTAAAAATAACAAAGCTTGCCATGGATTTTAACCCTTGCCTTGACCTCTGCTTTCCTGATGAAGATAAGAACTCAAAAGTGTCAGAGTTTGTGGAAACTTGAAAAAATGTATATTTATATTGTCATAGACTAGTTGGAACTCTTTCTTTTGTTTACCAGCCCTCACTATATATATTAATATTATCAAGATTTGTGAGGTTAAAATTTTATATATAGATATTGTAATCTTAATGGGGTCTTCTGTCTCCCTATCCCATTTTCCCATTGACTTGAATGGTAATTTTTTATACGCCAACGCAGTTTCTGTCTTATGCTACGTACCTACACTACATTGTGATTGTGTTGAAGTAGATGGTCAGGAACCTTCAAGGAAACTTCTCCTCTTGGACGGTGATACCTACTCGGACAGTTGGTGTCAATTGCCCCTCCCCTTTGCCCTTTTTCTTTTCCCAAAAAAACAGGCCAAATACAAACTAGCGACTGCACCTTTGCCGCACCATGTTTGTCTAAAGCATCTTCACACGATAGATCACCCTGTGAATAAGGGAGTTTATTTATAAATTTGTATATAATTATAAAATGTTAAAATAAGGTGATACCTACTCGGACAGTTGGTGTCAATTGCCCCCCATTGACCTTTTTCTTTTACCTACAAAACAGGCCAAATACAAACTAGCGACTGCACCTTTGCCGCACCATGTTTGTCTAAAGCATCTTCACACGATAGATCACCCTGTGAATAAGGGAGTTTATTTATAAATTTGTATATAATTATAAAATGTTAAAATAAATTTGATCACAGCTTGGAGTAATTTCATACAATCAAAACCAAAAGGGCCATAAGTACCAATACCATACCAAATCAAGTAGAAATTTCAGTGCCTTTGCTACAGTATAAAATTGCTAGAAGAAGAAACACATTCAAAGCAAAGGCATATCAATGTCTTTAAGCAGTGGCTAATTACTGTGTAACATGATTTAACATGTTAGAAATTGAATAGCCACAAAAATAAAAAGAAGAGGCACACTCCTAGTCTTGTGATGAAAGTCTTCTAAGTGCACGTGGAGCCATAATAGTAAAGGGTAAGGAAAAGAACCTTCAACGTTGTCTTTGATAGTGGTACTTCCTTTCTGAGGCGCAACAGCTTTCTTTCATCGGTTCATGATGATGCTTTTTTCTTTTTTACTAACATCTCTTCACAACATTGTCTCAAAACCGCTTTCTTAGATAAAATTTAAGGAGAAATTAAAAAAACAAACACCTAAAGTTTTTTTTTTTTTTTTTTCACTTTTACTCAAATGATTATAGGGACATTTTAGTAACAATGTTTCATTTCATTGTATGAAGAACTTTCGGTGCAAGTGCAAACTAGTCTAATAGCAATGTTGACGACTCGTCAGCCGAGGCAACCGAGGCTGTTTCTTTGGACTAGTCTCTATGGGACTTAGTTATACTTCTTTGGACTAGTCTCTATGGGATTTAGTTATAGACTAGTCAGCCGAGGCAGTTTCTTTGTAATGTGACGGTACCTACAACGTGTTGAAGTGAAGGGCAAGGAACCTTCAAGGCAACTTCTCATCTTTTTGGCAGATGTGCTTTCTGTCAACATATGATGGAACGTCTGGACTTTACATTTGAGGCTCTAAATTTTATGTTGTAATTTAGCTTACGTGCTAATTTTCCTTTTTAGTCTTTTATTTTCTGTAAATGTATTTGGTGGAGAAGAAATGAGGCGGGTATTTAAAAGGAAAAATTGGGTTGAAAAACTTGAAATAAATAAATAAATAAATCAATAAGCATTGGGCTTAAAAAAATCAAACACAGCCGTTGGATTGGCTGTAAATAAAAGGGAAAGCATTATAAATATAAAAAAAAAC